GTCTTCCTTATTCATTGTCCAGTTTTCATATGCATATGCAGTGATTGAAAATACCAATGCTTGAGTCAGCGACCTTTTATAGCATATTTGCTCAATGCAATAAAACATCATTTCATTTCTCGATTGCTGCTTCCATGAGCATTGATTGTGGATCCAAGTTAAATGAAGATCTGACAACTTCAATCTTTTCTCTATTTATCATGACATTATTTATTGGTACAGTTGTGAGAATTTTTGTTTTCTTTACATTGAGGGACAATCCATATTAAAGGCTGTGGACTTTGATCCTCATCAGTAAGCATTTTAAATCCTCTTCACTTCCAGCAATCAAGGCTGTGTCATCAGATTATTAATGAGTGGTCCTCCAACCCTGAAAGCATGTTCTTCCTCATATAAATCAGCTTCTTGGATTATCTGCTCAGCATAGAGATTTAGTAAGTATGGTGAAAGGATACAACACCGGCACACAATTTTCCTGATTTTCAACCATTCAATATTCCTTTGTTATACTGAAACAACTATCTCTTGGTCTAGGTACAGATTACTCATTGAGTATGATTAAGTGCTCTAAAATACCCATCTTTTGCAATATTATCCATAGTAATGTTATTATCCACACAGTCTAATGCCTTTGCATAGTCAATAAATCACAAGTAAACATCTTTTTGGTATTCTCTGCTTTTAGCCAAGATCCACCTGATGTCTGCAATGATATCCCTGGTTCCATGTCATCATCTGAAGCTGGCTTGTGTTTCTGGCAGTGCCCTGATGATGTACTGCTATAACAGCTTTTGAATTATCTTCAGCAAAATTTTATTTGCATGTGATATTAATAACATGGTTTAATAATTTCCATATTCTGTAGGGCCAACTTTCTTTGGAATGGACACAAATATTAATCTTTTCCAATTGGTTGGCCAGGCATCTGTCTGTCATATTCTTGGCATGACTAGTGAATGCTTCCAAAACTGCATCAGTGTGTTGAAACATTATCAGTTGGTACTACATCAATCCCTAGAGCCTTGTTTTTACATTTCAGTGCAGTCTCCTTCTTTCCATACCATCTGTTCTTGAAATGTTTAAACATCAACTAATTCCTTTTGGTACAGTGACTGTGTATTCCTTCCATGTTCTTTAGTTGCTTCCTGTATTTTAATATCTTGTCCATAAAATCTTTCAATATTGCATGTTAAGGCTTGAATTTTTTTCTTCAGATCTTTCAGCTTAATAAGTGCTGAGTGTTTTCTTTGCTTGGTTTTTTAGCTCCAGGTCTTTGCATGTTTCATTACCACTAATACTGTGATGCTATAGGATAAACACTGGACTGTTAACCACAAGATTGGCAGTACAAACCTACCAGCTGCTCCTTGGAAACCCAGTAAAGGTCAGAACCAATTTGACAGCACTTAACAACCAGCTACAATACTTAGACTGCGTAAGTTACAACAAATTACATATAATATTGTAAAGAATGAGAATTCAAAAACACTTCATTGTCTTCATATAGAAGTTGTACATAGATCATGAAGCAATTGTTCAACCAGAATAACGGGATATTGCATATTTTAAAATCAGGAAAGATGTATGTCAGGGTTGTATCCTTTCACTACACTTATTTGATCTGTATGCTGAGCAAATAACCCATAGCTAGACTATGTCTTAGTGGAAACACGAGACTAACAATTCACTAGAAAATAAACCAAAAGATTTTATTGAAGGCATAAGTGCGTTTCATGAAATGGAGGAGCATGCCACCTTAAGAGAAGATGCACGAGTGTACCCTCCCTAGTAGGAAAAGCAGTTATTACTTGATAAATCAAAGGAAGAAGGTTTCACATCAAAGAGATAAGGGTAGGGAAAAGGGAAGAAAAAATTATGAGTTATTAAATCACAAACCTATTTAATGACAACACAGGACAGAGTAGAAGGGTTTCTTAGTGTTCCCAAGGCTTTAGAGCTCATGTGTCTGCCATGGAGCAGCTGGTGGGTGCGAATGTGTAGTCTACTACACCACTAGGGCTTCTGAGTACAGCAGTATGCTGCTGTTGTTGTTAAGTGTTGTTGAGTCGGTTCTGATTCATAGCGACCCTGTATAGGGTTTTCAAAAAGCGGCTAGTCAGTTTGAACCACCAACCCTGCAGTTCAAACCAAGCTTGTGATTGAGTGCTTATCCTATAGAGATGTTATAACATAAATTTTCATTGTCTCAACTTCACAATAAAATATTTGATATATATTATAATATATATTTGTTGTTAAGTGCCATCGAGTTGGTTTCCAACTCATAGTGAATTTGAATAGGGCTTTTGAGGCTTTAAATCTTCAAGGGAGCAGAAAGTCTTATCTTTCTTCCATGGAGCATCTAGTGGTCTCTAACTGCAGACAAGTCAAGCACTTCTCATTTGGAGCTATCGCATTCTCATAATATATATTACAATATAATAATTCATACTCACTATGATGACTTAGGAGACCTGGTGCAGTGCACTGTAGGATAAGCATTGACCTGCTCACTGCTACTCTTCAGAAACTATACAGGGTATCTCTATGAGTCGAAACTAACTCAACATTTAACAACATTCCTCATTCACTCTCCAGCTTTTGCACCCATATGGTATTGTTGTTGTTGTTAACTGCCATCAAGTTGGTTCTAATGCATAGTGACTCTGTAAAGGGTTTCTGAGGAGTGGCTGGTGAACTTGAACCACTGACCTTCCAATTCAAACACACTTTGCAGTCCAGTGCATTAACCCACAGCGCCACGCCAGGACTCAGCAGCCTTATGACATGATTGAAAAGACCATGACTGAGTCAGGCACATTTTAGTCTTCAAAGTGCTTTTTCAAACTTTAAAGATATTTTTTGCAATAGATTTACCCAATGCAATATGTCGTTTGATTTCCTAGTTGCAGCTTCCATGGGTGTTGACTGTAGATCCAAGTAAAATGAAATCCTTAACAACTTCAATCTTCCTCTATCATGTTCCTTATTGATCCAGTTATGAAGATTATTGTTTTATATTAAGGTATAATCCATATTGAAGGCTATATATAGTCTTTGATCTTCATCAGTAAGTGCTTCCAATCCTCTTCCACTTTTAGCAAAGTTGTAGCAATTGCATATTTCAGGTTGTTAGTAAGTCTCCCTTTAAGGTTAATTATTCTTTCATTAAGGAGTCCTGCTGGCACAATGCGTTAAATGTTTGGCTGCTAAATGAAAGATCAGTGGTTTGAATCCACCAGCAGCTCCATGGAAGAAAGATAACTCCAAGACAGTGGGTTCCCTTGTGCTTAAATCCTGGGTCTGGGGAACTATTCTCTCCCCATTGTAGGTGACCTTCTTCTCCAGGGGTAGCCTTACCTTGCAACATCATGATAAAGCAGAAAATACTGAAGGTGTCAAGAAGTTAATTTTACTTGGATCCAAAATCAACTTTCATGGAAGCAGCAGTCCATAAACCAACTGACATAATGCACTGGGCAATCTGCCACAAAAGACCTCTTCAATGTATTAAAAAGCAAAGATGTCACTTTGAAGATTATGGAGCACCTGACATGATCCATAATATTTTCAATCACCTCATATTTATGTGAAAAAAGACCAAAGAATTGATGCATTTAAATTATGTGGATGGAAAGAATACTGAATGCACTGTGGACCACCGGAAGAATGAAGAAATCTGCATTGGAAGAAGTACAGCTAGAATGCTCCTTAGAAACAAAGACAGTGAGATTTCATCACATGTACATGGGACATCATATCAGGAGTAGTCTCTAGAAAAAGACATCATACTTGGTACAGTGGAGGCCCAACGAAAAAGAAAAAGACCCTCAACAAGATAAACTGACACAATGGCTGCAGCAGTGGGCTCAAACTATAAGGATGACACAGGATCAGACAGTGTTTCATGGGTCATTATGAGTTAACAACTATTCAACAGCACCAAACAACAATTATTTATAATTTGTTGATTTGGACTTGTAAATACTAGTTTGATTTCAAGGGCCTACTTAGACACTGACAACTTCCTGCATAATTGTTGCTGTTTAGTGCTATCGAGTCTGTTCCAACTGAAAGTGACCCTGTGTAAGGTTTCTAAGGAGCAGCTGGTAGGTTTGAACTGCTGACCTTGTGGTTCGCAGTCCAGTGCTGATCCTCCAGTGCCACACCAGGACCCTGAATAATTAGACCTTAATATAAATCATATTTGTGTCATTTTAGGATAAGCAATGGACTGCTAAACACAAGGTCTGCTCCTCAAAAACCCTACACATGGTCACTATGGGTAAGAACCAACTCAATGGTGCTTTACCTCCACCACCACCATCAGAAATGACCTCACATTGCAGTCATGAAATTTAATTTGCTCCTTCCCAAAGAGAAAATAAAAATCAGAAAACTCAAATTGCTTAGACATCTCTGCTTCAGACTATAACTGGTTCTTTAGTCATACCATGTATTCATCTGAAGTAATAAATTGTATTTATAGTAGTGAGTAGGAATGAGGGAAAAGACCTTAACAGTTGCTAACAAAGTAAAACACATTTCCTTTCATTTTCTGTTTTTATTATTAAATTTGAAATCTCTTCAAAAAAAAAAAACTCCATATTGCTGGTTATTCCAGCTTTCACTTCTTTTGTTAGTATTAAGTCAGAGACTGCTATCATTAATTTACTGTACTACAAACTATTTAAAAAATCAACCACCACTTTATATCTCATAAGACGAGAGTTAATTTGAAAGAAAATATACATACCAGTTTTAAAGGATTTTCAGATTACGTTTTTACGAGACTGTCCCAGACACAAAAAATTTACCTGTAAGTTGCATTATCAAAGTTGGTTTTTTTACTGCAAGAACCAAGCTAAGCTCAAACAAAAAATGGAAAAAAAAAGGAACTACTTTTACTCTGAAATATTAAGTATAATTTATTGTGAATACTGATTTTTAAAGGTAAATGCATTCTTTTAAGAACAGTTGCAAAGGTCAGTCAAGTTTACATACCAACATGATGCTGCCGTGTTGGAGAAGTAACATTTCGAATACAAGGAGTGAGCTGAGACTCTGTTCTTTCATGAGAGGAATCTCGTGATCGGTCACTTGACCTTCGTCTATCTCTTGATCTCTCAGGTCCCCCACTAGCACCATGTAGACTCATTTTGGTGTGGACAACTCCTCCTTTAGCAACACGTGAAGGAGTACTGATAAATCAAAAAAAGAAAAGATAATTAACCATGAAAGGAAAACATAGGATTACAAATGGCTTTTAAGAAAAACATGATTAATATAATTAATATTTTGAAGCATGAAAATAAAATGCTATTTTCTAATGCTAAAACGTAACTTGGATGTGAGTTTTATAAATTCTAGAATATTATGGTTTTAAACATCACATAATTCAACTCAGTGTTACTGAGATGACAAAATGAAAGCCCAGAAAAGGTAAAGGATGTTTGAGTTAGCAGCAGCAGTAGCAGCAGATGTCATCGTCATAGTAGTAGAAATCATCCAGATCTCTTTAAGTATTACTCAAATATTCTTTTTATTTCTTTGATTGCAGGAGTAAAACAATTTTTAAAAACGTTTTCAAACAGCATTTCTCTGAAAAACTTAATTTCATTGAGTATATAAATAAAGTCACAGAACTTTAAAATTCTAAAAATATCCTAATTAATTTTCTTAATGAGTAAATTAAACTTTAACTCATTAAGTTGTTTAATGAGAAGTGAAGTGAAGTGAACAATTGGGAATACTCATTAGCTAAAATATTCTAGCTCACATAATTCATTCACATAATCATTTATTAACTTCTATGTAGCACACACGCACTACAAAGCTATTCCAAATGACAATGAGATGAGAAACTCCCTCAAGGAGTTTATACTCTAAGTGTACCAGTAAGACATAAACATAAAAATTTAAGCAATATAAAAGTTATTCCAAATATAAAACTACTAAGTATTTCCCAGCTACATAACAACTAAATGAGTAACGAAGGAAAAAATGCTTATCAATTTCACAAAAAGAAGATATCACTGAGGATTAGCATTAGTCACTGGCACAACAGGCTCTGACAAACAGATACAAAAAAAGGCTAACCATTGCCATTGAGTCAATTCTGACTCATAGCACCCTAAAGTACAGGGTAGAATGGCCCCACTGGATTTCTGAGGCTATAAATCTTTGTGGAAGCAAACTGCCACATCTTTCTCCCATGGAGCGGCTGGTGAGTTCAAACTGCTCACCTTTTGGTTAACAGCCTACTGCTTAATCATTGTGCCACCAGGGCTTCTGACAAAAATAATCAAAATACATTGCAGGTAGGAAACAAAAATGAGAAAGTTCTATCTAACGCAATTTGGAAATTTACCATCTTAGCATATATCTTGGATGCTGGTTTAAAATTAAGTGTTTTATTTTTAGAATTAGAGCTTAATGGCTTTAGAAGAACTTAATGACTTTAGAATCAAACAGATTTAGAATGAAATATACTCTGTTGATACGTAACTGTTCAACACTTTTGAGTTTACTTTAGATACTTTTCTTTTCTCATCTGGAAAATGAGGAAATTTATTTTATAATTTACTTGCTAAGGTTAATGGCATGGTGTGGTGCAGGATAAGCACTAGACTGCTAGCCACAAGGTTATGGTTCAAACCCACAAGCACTCCTTGGAAACCCTATCTAGGATTGATATGAGTCGGAACTGATTCGATGGCACTTAACAACAACAAGGTTAATGTGCCACCACCTGTCTGCCAATTTGTTATACTGTGGTAGCTTGTGTGCTGCGGTAATGCAGGAAGCAAGCAATGACACTGATATTTTAAATACCAGCAGGGTCACCAATGGTAAACAGGCTTCAGCGGAGCTTTCAGACTAACATGCTAAGAAGAAGGATAAGTGGACCACTTCTGAATGGTTAGCCACTGAACACCTTATCAGTAAGCAGTCAGATATAGTGCTGGAAAATGAGCCAATAAGGTTGAAAAGCACTCAAAATATGACTGGGGAAGAAGTACCTCCTCAAAGTACAGTTGGCCTTAATGATGTAGAGGAGTTAAGCTTTTGGGACCTTCACTTGCCAATATGGCACAACATAAAAATGAGATAAAGCAAACATCCATAAGTAATTGGAACGTGGGATATACAAAGTATGAATCTAAGAAAATTGAAACATCAAAATGAAGTGGAATGCATAAAGATTGATATCCTATGCATTAGTGAGCTGAAATGGACTGGCATTGGCCATTTTGAATCTGACAACAATAATGTTTACTATGCCAGAAATGACAAATTGAAGAGGAATGGTGTTGCATTCATTGCCAAAAGAACATATCCACATCAGTCATGAGGTACAATGCTGTCTGTGATAGGATAATATCCATGCACCTACAAGGAAGCGGTTCGAAACTACCAGCTGTTCACAGGAGAAAGATGAGGCTTTCTGCTCCCGTAAAGATTTACAGCCTCGGAAACCCTGTATGGGTCACTATGAGTCAGAACCAACTCCACGGCACATAACAATAACAGCAACAGGGAAGCCCAGTTAAT